TGGTTGAGGCACCGAACAATCCTCCTATAATTTAATTTCGCACTTTCCAAACAACTGGCTTTAAAATTCAACATAGCATTCATCCCAATCACGCTTATTTATAGATTTCTATTTCGGTCTTGAGGGTAAATAAATATTTTTAGTTAGTGACATGTGACAATCATTGTAATCGATTATTTTATCCGTTCACGTTTTAGTCACCAACTTATATGTCTTTCTTTCATTGGTTATGAAGTCATGTTCTATTCACCTGTGCTTTGATACCAATTTTTGTCGATGTGGAATGACTTAATGAAAACAATTCGCTACTTTTAATTACATGTTCTAGCATTTATGAATGCTCGCTTTTGTTTCCCAAGATTCGCATAATAGGGGTATGAGTTCGCCGTTAATTCTTTATGAGTTTTTTGTTGTTTAACAAAGATCTAACTCTTTTATTGCGATAGGTTTAACAGATTTATATGCGCATCACCATTTGAGAGCCAGCTGAAGATTTGTTTTGGCTATCGCGATTCAATTCGGGGAACACCACCATGTTTCATCCTGTGCATTCGTTAAGGCTAAATTTGGTGCACGGACTTTAAACCACCTGTTGAAGGATTCGCCCTTGCACAACCAGCTTCAACAGTCAAGCTCGACTACAAAAGGTTGCAGCCGTGTGGACAGATACATATAACTACAGCTGACAGAGGCCATCAATCGTCCCCCTTGATTGTAATAACATTAGCCATTAATGTCTCTCTATGTCCAGCCAAGTCTACTGACTCGTATTCACATACATACAAATGCCCTCAATTAAATGCAAACGCCCTTGTTACAGTTTTACTTCAAGAAAAGGGTTTTTGAATTTGAATCTTGTCTTTTTAGGCAATCCTCAACTTACTTCGATGTCCTTTTGTCGTTGTCTCAAACATCTATAGAGATCCTTCTAGGACTTCAAATATGCATTCAGAGCTTCGGAGAGGCCATTTCCAAGGAAACATAGTGAGTCGGGAATTATTGATAAAGGACCTCGAAATTAGCGGTATGAGCATTGGAGATCTTAAGATCGACGTGGCATTTATTTGTCAAATTTTAGTATTATTGTGAATGAGTAACGTGATTGACAATTCTCATTGCGTCGTGCTTCACTAGAAAGCATAGTATGGTGGACAATAATACTATGTTGCTGTCATATACCTTTTATAAATTACATTGGAGGGGGAAAAATAATGCAAAGAATGAAGAGAAATTTATGTTTTGAACATGTAATATGGGAAAGTTTGAAGTTCATCGTCTTTAAGCCATTATATTCCAACCACACAACTACATTTTTATTTTTTTTATAATGGACTATCCGTAACCTTAAAATTCGATAATTTGTGACTAAAAATTAATCTGTGACTTGTAATTTTTTGATCCGTGACCAATAAAATAATCTGTGACCTGCAAAATTTTTGATCTGTGACCGATAAACAAATTATGACTTATAAAATTTATGACTTGTGCTGTGATCATTTGAAAATAAGTCGTGACTATGAACAAAATTCTGATTTGTGACCTGAACTGTAACTTGTGACCTGGGTTGTGACCTGAACTGTGACTTGTGACCTGAGTTGTGACCTGGACTGTGACTTGAGTCGGAGCAGTCGCCGGAACGGCTGGAGCAGTCGCTTGAGCAGTCGCGGGAATCGGCACCGGAGCGATCGCCGGAAAAGTCGTCGGACCGGTGGGGGGTGGCGGAGGTGGGGGTGGGTTAATTGTAAGTATGTATGTATGTATGTATGTATATATATAATTTAATTTCGCACTTTCCAAACAACTGGCTTTAAAATTCAACATAGCATTCATCCCAATCACGCTTATTTATAGATTTCTATTTAGGTCTTGAGGGTAAATAAATATTTTTAGTTAGTGACATGTGACAATCATTATAATCGATTATTTTATCCGTTCACGTTTTATTCACCAACTTATATGTCTTTCTTTCATTGGTTATGAAGTCATGTTCTATTCACCTGTGCTTTGATACCAATTTTTGTCTATGTGGAATGACTTAATGAAAACAATTCGCTACTTTTAATTACATGTCTTGCATTTATGAATGCTCGCTTTTGTTTCCCGAGATTCGCATAATAGGGGTATGAGTTCGCCGTTAATTCTTTATGAGTTTTTTGTTGTTTGACAAAGATCTAACTCTTTCATTGCGACACGTTTAACAGATTTATATGCGCATCACCATTTGAGAGCCAGCTGAAGATTTGTTTTGGCTATCGCGATTCAATTCGGGGAACACCACCATGTTTCATCCTGTGCATTCTTTAAGGCTAAATTTGGTGCACGGACTTTAAACCACCTGTTGAAGGATTCGCCCTTGCACAACCAGCTTCAACAGTCAAGCTCGACTATAAAAGGTTGCAGCCCGTGTGGACAGATACATATAACTACGGCTGACAGAGGCCCTCAATCGTTCCCCTTGATTGTCATAACATTAGCCATTAATGTCTCTCTATGTCCAGCCAAGTCTACTGACTCGTATTCACATACATACAAATGCCCTCAATTAAATGCAAACGCCCTTGTTACAGTTTTACTTCAAGAAAAGGGTTGTTGAATTTGAATCTTGTCTTTTTAGGCAATCCCCAACTTACTTCGATGTCCTTTTGTCGTTGTCTCAAACATCTATAGAGATCCTTCTAGGACTTCAAATATGCATTCAGAGCTTCAGAGAGGCCATTTCCAAGGAAACATAGTGAGTTGGGAATTATTGATAAAGGACCTCGAAATTAGCGGTATGGGCATTGGAGATCTTAAGATCAACGTGGCATTTATTTGTCAAATTTTAGTATTATTGTGAATGAGTAACGTGATTGACAATTCTCATTGCGTCGTGCTTCACTATAAAGCATCGTATGGTGGACAATAATACTATGTTGCTGTCATATACCTTTTATAAGTTACATTGGAGGGGGAAAAATAATGCAAAGAATGAAGAGAAATTTATGTTTTGAACATGTAATATGGGAAAGTTTGAAGTTCATCGTCTTTAAGCCATTATATTCCAACAACACAACTACATTTTTATTTTTTTTTTGGTATTTCGGGAAGTAATCGGGAGAGCTACCGATAATAGAACAAAGTAATGAAATAATTAGTTTGCTATTGTCGTTGTAGTATTATGAAATTAATCACGTTATTATACTTCAACTCACTCTGTCATTATGTGTATATTTATAAATAGGTGGTATCCGATGTCAAAGAGTTTACGTATTTGCGTAACGTGTTGAGCAACTTTATCTACAGACTCAACCAATTAGAGAGAGGAACTTTATGTCTTCAACACTCAAAACACAAAAGAAATTCACAACAACAAATCCTACAAGGAAACACTAAGGCAAGGAGAAAAAGAACGAATCATGACATTTTCAGAAAAGGATGATCATCCCATTCACTCAAAAATTAATAAGCATTTTGATATTTGCTTTTGTACCTGGATTTTCTTCATAATGAAGTCTTCGTTTCCTTTAAACTACCAAAAAAAAATACCAAATGGAAAACAAAAACTAGACATCAGAGGGAGAAGATAAGTTAACAACCTTGTTTTGTCTTCCCATGAGCCAAAGAAGAGTTCTCCTTGCAAAAGATTGTGCATTTTCTTGAAATTCCAGGCTGTTATATCTCTGGATTTCATCATCACAACACAATTCACTTCCTCCATTTTCCCACTTACTGGTGTCGATTTCAGATATTATCCTCTTACCACCACGAACGCCATTCTTGGGCTTCAACTCGTCGGTAGCCATCATGTTCTGGTTACCGGGAATCCGGAATGAAAATGCTCGCCTGGATGACTCGACTGTGGCTGCATTAGGCCTATCCCCTTTTCCCCTTAGCCAAATCTTTGAAAGAGAAAAGCTTTCCCTCTTGCTTTTCCCAATGGCCATTCTGTCATTGCCACTAGTAATACTACTATCATTGCCGCATTGAATTTCAGCAATCCTAATTGCTTCAGAACCGATGAATTCTCTTCTTGAATCACATCCACATTCAGACAATGCTTGCCTATGACCTGGTGTCAATGGCAAAGTAGGTTTCTTGGTCGATTGATTCTTCATAGGGTTTCTAATGGGAACTTGCAACGATAAATTTTCATCCATTACATAAGCAAAAGACCCCATGGAGAAGCACCTTCTTGCATCAGAACTTCTATCACTACTACCTTCACCTCGACCTTCGACATTCTTGAACTTCCCAAGCTTTACCCTAACAAGTTTTCCTCCCGAACCCACAACTATTTGCTGATTGCCCTCGTCCTTCGATTGAATTTCACAAGAGTTAGGCACTGGATCTTCATGAGGTTGTTTAAATTCATCATCACACTGAACACTCAATTTAGAATTCACTCTTGAAACTGAATTACTGGTGTCTAATCCACCCTCCCTATCCAAAACAATCTCTCTTGAACTTTCACTTCCAGATTCAAGAACAAGGACTATTGGCGAGCAATTGCTTTTTTGCAAAAAATCAGGAATCAAACTTGTTCTACAAAGAGGGCAAGTTGAGTGAGATAACAGCCAAGTATCTATACACTCCATGTGGAAGGCATGACTACACTTCGGCAGAAGCCTAAGCTTATCTTCAGCCTCAAATTCACACAAACAAACAGCACAATCGAATGGATCCTTCACTCCTATAATGGCTTTATAATTGAATACAGGGATGGTGTCAATAAAAGACTGATCAACACCAGAATCATGCAAACGAAAGAGTTGCTGCAACTGGCCTTGAAGGACAGTCACATTGTCTAATTCATCAGGATCCCTATGTCGAGATTTCAATAGGAATCTAACAAGAAGGTGAAGCAAACCCGAGACAAAGAAAGTAATGGTGAGGATTATAATAATCAGCAATATACTTGAACTCACCTTGTTGTTCAAATTGAACCCACCGGTATGCACAACACTGAAAGAAGAAGGTGTAGGTGGCTGAAAGATAAAATATGGCTGCTGAGATGGAGAAAGAGACCCCTTTTCTTTGATTTCAAGAACAAACTCCATATTTTCTTGAGAAAAATCAACCAGACTGAAGCTTAATACTTACAATATCATCTGATGTAACAGTGTCTCATATGACTAAAAAGACAAAATCTTGGCTCAAGTGAAAGATCCCATGAAGTTTTCTTTGAAGGAATTTATCAAATAATTTTAGTACAAAACAAACGTAGTGAGATTTAAGCCGGCCATTTGATAAAGGCTGATCGAGGGGGGCATCCCGGTCATTTAGAAAAAACCTGCAGATACAGAGAGGGAAGGAGTAAATGTGTTGCATAGAGGGTTGAATTTTTGAATTTGCAGCAATAAATACTAATTAGTAATTAGCACAAAAAATGGAACACATTTAATTTCTAAATTATATAATTAGGGCAAGCAGAGCAGGTGAAAATTTATGATTTCACCAAATGCTAGGCCTTTTGGTTTGACTTCGAAAACCCCATCTCATCAACCCCAATGCCCACTCATGTAACCTAACATTGAATCATGTCATACGTACAATTTAATTTGACAATATTGATTGACAATTCACGCTTAGCTACATCACATTCATCTATTACAAAAACTATTTTTTAAATAATGTTATTCATAGTAAAGACTACTGGTAATTGTCTTGCGTGACATATACATGATAGTTTGTTAATTGATGTATGAGGTAATAAAAAACTATTACATTAATGTATCAAATAACAAACTGTTACGTGTATGTCATGTAAGACAACTACCGCTATGAATAATTTTTTAAATCAATGGCCCGAATTTGTCAACCATTATTGTCAAATATAATTGTACAAATAACATAGTTGAAGAAAAAATGGTTCTTGAAAAAGTAAATTGTCGAGGTTTAATGTGAATTCGAACAGCCCGTTTCCACTTCATTTTTTAATATTTTTTCATTTGTTTTTTTACATTTTCCCCCATGAATTCCATCTGATCTCAGTCTTGATTCAATGCTTCTACCCCATTCTGTTTCAGATCCCATTAAAGAAAGTCTTAATTTAGAACCACGTCAAACGTTAGTGATAGAGAAGATTCACTTAGTTGATTAGAAATTGAATTAATCTATTTGTACAATGATGGTTGACAAAATTTGTTGACAATATTAGATGTGACAAAATCTGGACAATTGATTTAAAAACAGTTTTTGAAATTTTTTGAAATGGATGAATGTGATGATATCAAATCATGATTATCAACAAACATTGTTAACTATCATTGTACATGTAGCATGATTGCTATAAATTTACTGAAATCAAAACAAGTGTCAAGTTAGCAAACATTGAAATTATTTGCTAGAAGATACATTATCATGGCATACCGCACATAAAGTAAATTAAAAAATTTATTTTGAACACGATCAAATATGTCAAAAAAAATTTTTAGTTTAAGAGCAACTTTTCTTTCTAAAATATGTACTTTCAAAAGAATAACAAGCTAAACGAAAAACGAAATTGAATTACTCATTTAATTGTACTTATCATTTAATGTCGCATTAAAGCGACATGGATTAGATTGTAATCTCAATGGACCTAAATAACATTGCTCAAAACGAGTTGCTTAAGTTTTAAGTTTAACACGAGTGTGAAAAACGAAATTGAATTACTCATTTAATTATACTTATCATTTAATGTCACATTAAATCGACATGGATTAGATTGTAATTTCAATGGACCTAAATAACATTGCTCAAAACGAGTTGCTTAAGTTTTAAGTTTAACACGAGTGTGACTTGAGTGGATCCCATCTTCTTGGAAGTACAAAATTTCATATTCATGGGTTCTTTGCCTTTGTGCTCGACTTTTTGTGCCTCCAAAAAGACAGTCAGCAATGGAACCAAAAACCCACATAGGATAAGGATCTCCCACTTCATGTCCCCTTCCGTGGGATAATTAGTTTCTTTTTTAATTATCAATAAGCAGAAATTTGAAGCTAAAAACCATAGTATAGTTGACTTTTGTCATAATTATAATTAACTCATGACTTATATAATATTAGGTCTATATAGTTGCAATAACAAAAAAATTTGAATTATTTTGGTACTTTATGCCCGAAAATGTTACATTGACAAATTGATATTAAATTATATGAAGCCAATTAATTTTTTGTATTGAATGTTTATTTGTTTATACTATTTTTCGTAAAATGTATTCTGTCTAAATCTTATAATATTATTTTATGAGTTTTCATGTCTTGTGTCATATTTAAAACTTCTCGTATATCGTGTTTGCCTATATATAACATATTTAATTAGTAACATATAATTTGTGTATGATTTCCTTAAACTTTTCAACTATTGTACAAAATTTCCACAATAAGAATTGACATTTTAATCTAGATTTTTCTGAATATTGTAACTTTTAGAGGTAGTGTGAAGAAACATAGTAACTCAATTTTGTCCAAACAACATCATAACATTTGTAAAGTTCATAAATATAGTCATTTAGCACAAGAGAACCAATTTTTGTGGCATTATGTGATATGTTCAATTAAAAGTGACATTATGTGATTCATTTAATTGAATCCATAATTTAATGTAACTAATATTGCCACATAAATTAATGTTAAACACCAGTGATACTGAATAACAATACCCTTTAAAATTATATACTATGTACAACATTTTTTTAACAATGACTTTCGTTGTTGTCTAGTTGGTAATACAATTGGAGTAGAAAAATATGGTTCTTGTATAATTTCTAACGTAGTTTGGTTAAAATTATGCCCTTGTTTGAGCCTCGTTTTTCAAAAGAATGAATTTTGTAATAGTAAATTTTTGTAGAATGTGTGATTAAAAGTAAAGAAATTTTTTTGGTTTACGTGCTAATTATTTTATTGAAAAAATATGTAGTCGAAAATGAGTTTAGGAAAAAAAAATGAAATTTTGAATAATGGGCTCAAACATGGGCTAAATGTTAGGGAAAATTACATAAAACCAGTTGTTTAGTTTCAAGTTTCTGAAAATCAGGTTTATACTTTATTTAATTAAAAATCAGGTATTAATTTCACAATTAATATTAATAATAATATTTTAAATTAAATTAATATATATATCCACAATACCACCTACCCCCACAAAATTTCAATCCCATTTCCCAAATCCTAATCATTTTTCTTCTCCCTTCTCTTCCGTCTCTTCTCCTCCCTCCCCCCTCTTTTGTCATTTTCATCTTCTCTCTCTCTCTCTCTACCTCTTCCTTCTCTCCTCTCTTTTATCACACCGCCAATTCCTCTTTTCCGCCTTCGATTATGGGCTTCCTCGGTGGTTCTGCTATGCGAGACAGTGTCACGGCTTGTAGAGGCGCCCCGATTGTGGGTTGCAGTATGTGGATCTGATGAGGCTGTAGTAGTGATAAAGTGGTAGCGACGGTGGCAGTATGTTCGGCGTCGCTTTGACGCTCATGTGACTCTGCGAAGCTCCGAGATCTTCGCCAGAAATCCATTACAGCTACAAATATTTTGCTCGATGAAGATTGGGTTAATGGAGATTTTAACCGGTAATTATTTGCGGGGTGAAATGAATCACCTCGAGTTGAGGCGGTAAAATGAATGTGTGACGAAGCAGAATCGGTATTTGAGAAGCAGATCCGGCCGTGTTTTGTGTGGTGGGGAGTTTTTGTGGTGGTGGCGTCTTGTAGATCCAGCGGGCGATTTTTATGGTGGTGGCTATGGCAGTGGATCAGCGGTTGGGTGGTGGCCGTGGTGGTGGTTTGTAGTTGAAAATGGTGGTTTGTTGGTTTTTATGGTGAGAGGAGATGGTGGTGGTGGTGAAGTAGTGGTGGTTTGTTTGAGATAGAGATTACGGTGTTCTCGTAAGGTGGTGGTGGTTCTAACGACGGTGGTATTGGCGGCGATGGTGGTGGTAATGTTGGTCTGGTGGTTGTCATGGAGGTGGTGGTAGTGGTCGTGGCGATATGTGACTGACAGATAACTATGACTTGTAACTTTTTGATCTGTGACCAATAATCTTGCACCAGATCTAACAAGTGTGAGCCTCGGTAGTGGTGGCATTGGTGTTTTTAGTTGGAGTTTTTTTTGGTTGTTGAAGTGGTGGTGATTATTTTTAACTAAATGTTAGGGAAAATTACATAAAACCAGTTGTTTAGTTTCAAGTTTCTGAAAATCAGGTTTATACTTTATTTAATCAAAAATCAGATTTTAATTTCACAATTAATATTAATAATAATATTTTAAATTAAATTAATATATATATCCACCGTACCACCTATCCCCACCAAATTTCAATCCCATTTCCCAAATCTTAATCATTTTTCTTCTCCCTTCTCTTCCGTCTCTTCTCCTCCCTCCCCCCTCTTCCGTCATTTTCATCTTCTCTCTCTCTCTCTCTACCTCTTCCTTCTCTCCTCTCTTTTATCACACCGCCAATTCCTCTCTTCCGCCTTCGATTGTGGGCTTGCACGGTGGTTCTGCTACGCGAGACAGTATCACGGCTTGTAGAGGCGCCGCGATTGTGGGTTGTAGCATGTGGATCTAATGAGGCTGTAGTAGTGATAAAGTGGTGGCGACGGTGGCAGTGCGTTTGACGCCGCTTTGACGCTCGTGTGATTGCTTTGCGGCTTCCTCCGCGAAGCTCCGAGATCTCCGCCAGAAATCCATTACAGCTGTAAATATTTTACTCGATGAAGATTGGGTTAATGGAGATTTTAACCAGTAATTATTTGAGGGGTGAAATGAATCGCCTCGAGTTGCAGCGGTAAAATGAATGTGCGACGAAGAGGAAGCGGTATTTAAGAAGCAGATCCGGCCGTGTTAGTGGTGGTGGCGGGTTTTTGTAGTGGTGGCGTCTTATAGATCCGGCAGGCGATTTTTATGGTGGTGGCTATGGTAGTGGATCGGCGGTTGGGTAGTGGCCGTGGTGGTAGTTTGTAATTGAAAATGGTGGTTTGTTGGTTTTTATGGTGAGAGGAGGTGGTGGTGGTGGTGAAGTAGCGGTGGTTTGTTTGAGATGGAGATTGCGGTGTTCTCGTAAGGTGGTGGTGGTTCTAACGACGGTGGTGTTGGCGGCGATGGTGGTGGTGATGTTGGTCGTGGTGGTTGTCATGAAGGTGGTGGTAGTGGTCGTGGCGATATGTGACTGACAGATAACTATGACCTGTAATTTTTTAATCCGTGACCAATAAAATAATCTGTGACCAACAAATTTGGAAATATGTGAACTCTGTGACTTATAATTTTTTTAACTTGTGACCAATTAAAAATTTGTGACCTATAATTTTTTTAATCAGTGACCAATGGAGTCAATTGTGACCTATAAATTTTTGGATTTGTAATTTCGAAATAATTCGTGACCTACAAAATTTTTGATCTGTGGCCAATGAAAAAATTGTGACCTATAAAATTTTAGATTTATGACCTCGAAATAATTCGTGACCAGAGAACAGTCGTGGGAGTGGTTGCCGGTCATCGGAGCAGAGGTGGAGGTGAGGTGAGGTAAGGTGGGGGTGGGTGGGTGGATGGGTTAATTATATTATATTACAATTAAATATTTAATTTAATATAATAACTGTGAAATATAATTAATTAATTCATGAAAAACCTGATTTTTGCCATTCTAAACGTTGGGGCCTGATTTTTTGATTTTGGAATAGATAAAGTCTGAGTTGTGAATTTTTTCCCTAAATGTTATCTAGACGTGTTGTAGTCGAATTGTTAGATTAGTATTTGTACAATAACATAACATACGTGAGTTGGTTCATTTCGTACTCGTATCTATGCAATTCCACAATTAACAAAATAAAAAAATAAATGAGTTCATTTTGACTATGGAAATTTCCATTTTGTAAAAGTAATTAAAAGAAATACTTTTCTTTTTGTCTCTGACTCTATTGAGCCTCAAGAAACAAAATTGAAATCCAATTAAAATTGAAAATATGATCGTTATTGAATCTCACTCGTCTAATAAAAGTCAACAATAACGACTAGTTTTCCAATTTTAATCTGATTTTAATCTCCACCAAACACGCCATAAATAACAATTAAAAGTTAAAATCTTGCCCAATCACGCCAACCAAACATAACCTACAGTTGTTGAAAGCCAACATATAATGGTATTTCTTCTCATCAACTTTCTCTGTCTTGGATTTTCATATATATAAATTTCTTCTTTTATTTTCTCTAATGCAAATATCTACATATTAGAGACTGATCTAGAGAGAGACGAATCAAGCATTCAAGCGCATAAACTCTTAAGATTGTAGAGAGATCATATGAGATTCCACATATTTACACAAATTTTCACCAAAGATGCTATTAACATCTTCTGAACAAAAATAATGGCAATAATTTACCAATTTTTCAAAAATCAAATATAAAATGTTACTGTGCAGAAGTAGATTATATGTCCTGAATCCATTAATCTTCAACAGGTGCTTCCAGTTTCCATAGATTGACTAAAAAAGCATAACCATCTTTTCCCTTCATTCTCAGAAGTGGAACACCTAAAGCTGGATCTTGAACATCTAACCAGTTGATTCCTCAAGTTACGGCCAACCGATCTTGGAACCAAAGAAGGAGTAGTGTCCGAAGCTCCCATACAAAGGCTTGGTCGGAGTTTCACGGATGGAAACCTTTGGCAGCTAATAGAGCGGAAAGAAGAACCGAGTGGGGAGATCCGAGCACAAGAGAAATCCGGCTTGCATAATGAGGTTTCCAGTAAAGCGTGTTCAGGAACCTCGGTCGAGCAAGTGCAAAAAGTCAAGGACAAACTTGTTCTTGAAATATACTTGCATACTGACCTTGTGTCCGGAAGCTTAACGAAAGAAATTATACCATGCCGGCAGAGTGGGCAAGCAATTGAGCCCGGGGGACCATGAGATACGGTAGAGATGCTATTTGTGGAGCATAGATACAAAGCACAATGAGTGCAGAACTCATGGAGACAACCTGAAAAAACAAGCATCTTACATTCGTTTGCATATGATGTCATTGCATTGGAATAAAATTCAACATTTTTGTTATCATGGCCATATTAATGGCTCGAAATCTCACACAAGCAAGAACTTGCTGCAAAGAATGGAATATAAGGTAACACGAAAAGAAATAAATGGAAACTGTCAGAATAGTGTGAAGTTTATATATATTAGCATAGAACAGCAATTGGCATTTTGACGACGACGAACTAAATTAAACCCCACCCCTGTCAAGCGATCCCAAGCAGACTATTAAAAGAAAATAACCGTCACTAGTTCATATTTTATACATTAGTAGCAACATCATGTGGGCAGTACAATACCCATATTGCCATATACTTTGTGTGCTTAAGTACGCATTGTTAATAAAAATTTCACTACATAACTAGGAAAGGAAAACAGAGAATGAGATCCTTTGTGCTAAATATACTGCAAGTTTTAATTAATATACCTTCTGCAGCAACTGTGCATTTCCTTTCCAAGCAAACAACACAAGGATCTATGCATGTGGACAGCATGTCATTGCCTCTCCATCCACATTCTCTGCAAAAGAAACAAAAGAGAATAATAGTTTAACTCAATTGCAGCCATTCATGTCGTTGTATAATAGAACTGTCATAAATTTTCTCTCTGTCATTGTATGTTCATAATTCTCATCTAAAAGTTTAAGCTATTAGGGAGGGGCTCATGTATTAATTTAAATCTTATCTTCAACGCGCCTCCTCACATAAAGACTCGATTCATTTTCCGATCAAATGTCCAACATGTGCACAATTTTCATAAATGGAAGGCACCGAGACTTGAAGCCACAGTTCTTTTGCCTCCTCTAATACTACATTGAACCATTTCATCTAGAAACTTGGGTTGTTATATGCATATTCATTTAAATCTTGCATTCAACATTGTATAAGATCTAGTTTAGAAACAAATATTGAGGCAAAGGCCATCAACACTATATCAGCAATCTAAATTTTTTCTCTCATCGAGAGATTTGATTATTTTTTAAAAATTACTAGAGCAGTGTGTCATTTTGGCTCACCTAGAGATATTAACGATGCTCATAAGGGGAAGACATAAATATGGTGAAGGACTAAGTTGTGGTTGGCTTTCTGAACTCCTGCTAAGAATTTCCTCAAGCGAATCTCTATGCCATGAACGGCCAACCATCAAGGGAGTCCAACTTTGAACAAATAGAAACAAATAGTTAAGTAAGAGAACAAATTCGTTGGTCAACAAAAGGTAATAAAATAACAGAACTTCAAAATAATACAACCAATCATCAAAGGGGCATATGTATGAAAACAGCCACAGATAACCCTAACCAACCCTAACCCCAGGAACGATATATAGAATGTCAGTAAGCTTAAATGTACGAGTAAATAAGTTCTAGAATAAAAAATAAAAAAAATTATTGATCCAAGTTGACATTAAGTTACTCGACAGTACGATAAATGCCACACTCGATATAAGTTTTTTCTTAAAAGAAAAGTAATTTATACAAAACATGAAAATAAAAAGATACTTAAAATTAACTTTTACTTATTTTTAAGCTTAGACAAACATGCTTCATGCGACATCAGGAGAAATATGTTAAGAGTAACCCATTGAAATGTGAATATTAGTCACTTGCCTACCCATTAGCATTTTCTGCAGTCAGACTGGCACCCCTTGCAATCAAAAGCTGAAAATAGTGAAAACGATTATATGTTTAGCTCATGTCCATTGACATCGAAAATTACGTTTGACCTGAAATATACGGACCTGACAACACTGTGCACTACCACCACAAGCAGCATAATGGAGGGGTGCGCTTCCTGGACCTGCAAAAAAAGTAAATATTCTTAAATTTAATCTAATAGCATCATCAGGTCAAGAAACATGTAATGGGTGGGTGCTCACTGCTTGAATGTTATTTTATATTAATAAAAGAGGCTGTCTTGTTAAATGCTTTCATAATCAATTATGAGTCAAATAAGAACATGTATCTGCTTTCAAGCTTCTCTTGCTCTAATCCAGAGCAAAAGAAAGTATACATTCAAGAAATTCAATGCCCTGCATATTTTATTTCAATATCTGATGCTTAAAGAGAGAGACAAAGTAGAGCAGTATGAATCATTAGACTAGATCTCAAGAAGGCCTTTTATGAAATCAAACTCACGCTATAAGCTTTACATCTTGATCATTTACTATAGGACTGAAGCTTATTTTAGACGTAAAATCTTTGCTCACAGACGCATCAAAGTCCTTTCTTCCTTCATTATTGCATAAATTCATTATTTATGGAAGCTCTCTCACATCCTCACACGCGTACAGACATACGTGCGCATATGTTCCAGAAAACCCAATCATCAAAACAGAAAATGGGATCTGTTCTCGTTTCTTGTTGTTTGGAACAGCAATAAATGTAAGGTTTGTTCACGATGTAATTAGTTAGAAAACTGTAACAACAAGCACTTGGAAGTTTATGAAAGTAGGATTTTCCATGCTCTACTTCCTGTCTCATATTGGTGACTAAGATCTATTATATAAGCATTTTATGCCAAAAAGGGAAAATAAAAGGAAGGCTTGACTTCCTATCTAAATCTTTGTAATATAAGATTATATAGGATATAAACTAGATAAGTTTTAAAAAGTTGCATCTACATCAGTTAGGAAATGTTAAATTCCAAATGTGTAGATTAACAATTGACTTGTAATGTTGTCATGAAATGATACAAGTAAAGTAAATATAGAAAAACCACTATTGATCCAGCAAATCTTAGATAAATACGCATCTCAAACTTAGAATGTGAGAAAAATGTTCCTTTAAATTTAGGTAAAAAAGTTCGATATTTGAATATTTAGTTTGAGAACCAAAAAAGGAATTTGGACGTAGATGCTTTTCCTAGAATCATCATGCCTCTTGCTGCAACAATTTTGTAAAAATTGGAAATTGAATGAAGGGAGAGGGAGGGAGGGAGGGAGATATCAGAAGAAGCAAATGTGGAATTTAAGAAAATAAATGAAATTTATGTATTGTTATTTGCTACTGGATTTTAGTATCTAGAATTTCACAAGTCCCTTTTAGTTAATCTAGAGGCGCGCAATCCACTGTAAACCCGAACCAATTCATGAAGCAATCCACAAATAAATGGAATCAAATCCATAAATGACAAAGTTGTCATTCATTGAGATAAAGAAATCATGTAATATTAGATGACTGACTACTGGAAATCAACCGAACATTCTCTCACTGAAATTGGCTGTCAATTTGTTCCCACATCCACTAGCATGCACTTTCAAAGAAGCAAAACCGTAAATGATATTTCAAATGACATGACGAGGTAATGTTAATCCAGAAATTTCATTCTGCAAAAGGAACACTACTGATCCACATGGCGATGAGAAATTATCATTCTTAATGTGACATATCATATTTAAACAGATAATAATGCATACTAAAACCAAAATCCATCAACAATACGTGAATGCAAAAAGAAATAAAGAACTTGCCAATTAAATCAATTGTAGTTCCATCTTCCACAGTGACCTCAGAAATGGAAGCCCCTAAATCCAGTAGGAGTTGAACAGTTTCAACATGCCCATTAAGTGCAGCCATATGGAGGGCAGTGACGCCACCATCAGCAGGTCTATTGATGACCTCGTAGAGTGCACTTAAAAGGGCAAAAGGATTATTAAATTACTAAGCGTACTGCAAATACAAAATTTAAGTAGTTTAAAAGAAAATTATGATATTTGGTACCTATCATCAATTTCCGAAATGGTTGCATCATTTTTTGATCTTTTCCTTAAGATGCTGTAAAAATTAGGAATGCTAGGAATGTAATCAGTAAGGAGAATCCGGATACATCTGGAATGGCCATTCAAAGCAGCTAAGTGCAGTGCAGTTCCTCCATTAAGATAATCAGCTCTGTGGATCTAAAATTCAACAATATAATAAGTCGTGACCTTATCCCAGAAAAGTCATTCAGTTAGATCCTGTATGAAATATAGAAAAATATACCACCAAACGAATTATCATACATTGGCTTTGAATAGAATCAGAGTTTGAACAACCTCCCAATGCCCGTATTGACAAGCTTGCATCAGAGCAGTCTGTTTGGGCAATTAATCATCTATTTGTTATAGAGCATTGAAGGAATTGAAATTATAAATGAATGCTGTCTTGTAAATAACCATCCAAATAAGAATTGAAAGAAAGAGGAAAAAGAGAAAATTTTACCTGCCCTCTATAGTTCCTGAGATTAATATCAACTCCAGATTCAACTAAGAGGGAAACAATCTAAATACAAGGTACAAATAATATAATCACCATCCAACACCGTTTCTTTGAGACTAAACATATTCAAAAAACTTGCACTGAATTATAATATACCTCTTGGTGACCTTGAGCAGCCGAGTAATGTAGGGGAGAATTGCGAACGCCAAAGGTCGAATACCTCACGAGGCGAGGATTATACTCCAATAAAGCCTTGGCTTCCTGAAGATCCCCATCTCTTGCTGCAGAAACTAGACGCTCCCCAGATGCAGAACATCCAAAAGAATTACCCAAAAGGCTTAACAATCTCATAGTCACCATATATTTACAATTCCTCAAGTACAAAATTGAGGACGAGGACCTTTTCTGTTACAAAAATTAAAAGAACCCTATAATGACACCCTTATACATCTGGTTCCTTGATCCTCCTACAGTATGAGGAATCTCACCAATTTATCAACTTTTTGCGCACACAATTTCGTTGTTTCTTACCAAATCTGTAACAACATCGGAACCAATCTTTACCAGTGATTACATCCAAAAACAATTTGGTGAAACTGTTGGAATCTCACTGAACTCTGATCGGAACTCCATTCTTTAATACTCTCCAAAAGACACAGGTAAATAATTTCAACACCATAATCCCATTTGCAATTCCATTTTGATCTTTCAAGAAATAAATTATTCAATCTTGATAATGACAGTTTTTGATACAAATTACATTGACCTTGTCAACCCCAGAAGACCAACAAAAAACAGAGCTGGAACGGAAAAATAAATTACAATGTTTTACCAAATATTTGTAACCTAACTCCCTCAAAATCGAGATTGTGCAGAGCCCATGTCAAAAAACCCAGAAACTCTAGATAGTTTTCAAATCTGACCAGAAACTTTGCCTGAATATCAAGACTATCCAGATTCCAAAATTTCCGGGAATAATTCAGAACAAAAACCCACCACCAAGATTTACATGCTTGATAACTATGAAGCCCAAATTTCACCTAACCTCTCAAAAAGCAGCCTCCCCTCCAATGCCCAAAATACTCCTTTTTAAAACAAACGAGGTTAACAATATTAAATGACAGACAGCGATCCCACAAATATCTCTGTTCTTTTTCCTAAAAATAAAAATGTTTCTTGAAATGAAGCTTAAAATCCGGATTGACTACCGTATATACGTTTCGACACATCTATATCTACATAAATATAAGACTGGGTATTGTGGGGACGGGGTTGTAAAAGTTGAGACAGGTGTTAAAGAGAAGGGACAGCGAGTTCTGTGGTAACCTCAGACCAACAGCAAACAAACAGGCCTGCAAGAGAGAGTGCGCACTCCATCATTGGTTCTTGTTATTATTCACAATATTGCCAGTGAACTTTTGGTACAAGGCTTGTTATTCTCTTCCAAATTAGGTCAATTTTTTTCTCTTCACTTTGATTTGCACTCGGATGAGAATTGTTGGACACCTATGGGATAGGAATTACGAGTGACAGAATGTGACGGGTTCGTCGTGTCAGAATTGACTTGATTCCTACGTGTTTCAGGGGAAAAAAATAAAATTAGAACAGTTTATGAAAAGAAACCATTAAAAAAGAAAGATGACCATGAAAAAGTTATTATCAAAATTTTGAATTTCATCGATCGCTGTGTTATCTCCAGTTCAAAAGATGGATAATACTTTCATACTCGGCACATTTATTTTATCATTTTTTCTTGTTTTAGCATTATGTAGGGTGAAAATACGAAATTATTTAGAGGATTAAGTTTTGAGGTGGTTAGTATTTGGTCTTAAATAAAATTCGACTAGCATTTTATCTATCTATGGATCTTAAACAAGCTTTTTAAATGAGGATCATGACAGAGAAATGCTAGGATTACCGGGAGGGAGGGTTGACAACCCCCTGACCTGCCCTTCACAATGGTCGGGGCCCACCTTTTTAAAATTCACAAGTGATTTACAAAGTTTTATTTCTCTTTTATTTGTTTATTTTCTATCAGAAATTATATTTGCTTATCCATTTTACCCTTAAAATGGTATTTTATATACCTTGTATGTGACATCAAAGAGCTCTAATACATGGATGTATAATTTAATATCAGTACAAAAATCGACATCCACGACATTTTGTATCTTTAAATCTCTAGTTTTCATTAAATACGGCTCTTCTTAAATTGCTTCGTTCTCAAACTTGAGATGTCATTGTAGAGGTGTCTAATTAGATACTATTATCAAACATGTTACTAGGTTTGGGTAAAAAAATCGAAAAATCGATCAAACCAATCAAACTGAACCGGCTGGAACTAGTTCAGGTCGATCTGACACGGGTAATTGGTTTGGTTTGGTTTGTTTTTTTTTTTTTAAAAACAAAACCATGGTGGGTTGATTCAACTATGGTTTGAAGCCTCAAACCGTTGTTAACCGAACTGATCTAACCCACTTATATGTTTACAGTTCGCTTAAAGAAAAATAAAAATCAAAAGATAGGTCATAAATTCATAACTATATATTGATTCCCTTCAATTTGTGATGTTGCCAATAAGTAATAGCACTGAAAAATTTCTTTCACAAGCTCATTATGTTATAATTAGTATTTTTCCCTACTCGGGTAATCAAACTACATAATGCATAAAAAAAACAAGCAGGTTCTTAAGTTTTCTATTGATATATTTCTATTAACCTGATTTTATTTGTTAGTCAATAGCTCTTATAACATAAAGTCATTTTAGTTTGAAGAAATTACATAAAACCATAGTTTTAAAAACTCAATTTCAAAAATCAGATCTAAAATTTATTTATACAAAAATCAGATAATAATTATACATAACCCTAATCACTTTTTATATTATTTTCTCTCTCTCTATCCCTCACTCATCTCTTAACACTGTTGCTTCACTCATCTCTCAACACCGTCGCAGTCACTTATCTCTCTCACGAAGAACACTGCCACCGCCGCTATGAAGAGCCACCACCACCGTCGGACAAGACGCTGCCACCTAGCAGCGTCGCTCTGAGCAGCAGCGGCCCGTCACTCTGAGACGTCGAACGACTATTACAGTCGCACAAAGGGCCACCGGATCAAAGGTCGTATCTCGATTTGCCCACCGCCGAAGCTATGTCGATGTTTGGTTCTGTAGTGATTTGTGATTTGTAGTTTGTGGTGAGCGCCGGTGATGTCTGTAGTTCGTGGTTTCGGGTGATGAGCTCGCTGTTGGGGTTTTCTGACGCGGCGCACGATTTAGATACTAGTGTAGGTTGTGTTGGTGCCGGTGGATCTATTGTGGTGTTTGGGTGGCAGTGGCTTACGATGGCGGAGGTTATGTTGGATGTGATGGTGGCTGTGGTTTTATTGGTGGCGATGCTGGTGGTGGTGGTGGTGAGATGTTGGTGGTCGATCGGTGTGGATCTGTGTGTTTGGGTGGCGGTGACTTTGTTGGATCCAACGATGGCGGAGGTTATGCTGGATCTGATGGTGGTTGTAGTTTTGTTGGTGGCGGTGCTAGTAGATCTTAGCGGTGGTCATGGTGAGATGTTGGTGGCGATATGTCTATCGAGATTGTGGTGTTGGTGTTTTGTGCAATGTGTTGATTTGTTTGAGGGGTGGTGTTGCTGTCAGAGGTGGTGGTGCTGGTTTTGGCAGTGACGGTGGCGGTGCTGCTGCTGGAGGGAGTGGCGCGGTGGTGGTCACTAGTGTCGGTTGTGGTCACATTATTTAGTTGATTGTGACCATTAAATTTGTTAATCTGTGACCAATAAATAATATGTGACGAATGAAAAAGATAAATTGTGATAAAAAAAATAAGAATTATTCTGGTGGTACATCACCACTTACACAAGGGTGTCCATAATGAAGACGCTCCTTTCAATGAGGAGGCGCCCAGTGTCCATTATGGACACCCCGATGTAAGAGGTGATGTACCTCTAGCATCTCCCAAAAAATAATGTGTAACCTAAAAAACTATTCATTTGTGACCAATAATTTAACAATTTGTGACCTATAAATAAATTGTGACCGATAATTTGACAATTTGTGATTGTCTACTAAGTTGGTGGGTGTTGGTCACAAGTTTTGGTGTGATCAAAGATTATTTGGTCATTTGTGACCATTAAATTCATTAATTTGTGACCGATAAACAATGTGTGATCAATGAAAAATATAAATAATGTGTGACCTAAGAAATTTTTAATTTGTGATCAATAATTTGATAATTTGTGATTGTCTACTAACTTTTGACTTATAATATTTGTGATTTGTNATTTGTGATCGATGTATAAGTTGTGACGTATAATTTTTTTTATTTATGATCGATGAACAAATTGTGTTATAAAATTTCTTAATTGTGACCGTAAAATAATTTGTGACCTATAAAATTTCTGATTTGTGATCGTAAAATAATTTGTGACTTATAAAATTTCTGATTGATCGATGAAAAAATTGTGACATATAATTTTTTGAATTGTGACCGTAAAATAATTTGTGACGTTTCAATTTTTTATTTGTGATCGATGAACAAATTGTGACCTATAAATTTTTTGAATTGTGCCCATAAAATAATTTGTGACGTGTAAAATTTGTGATTTGTGACCAATTATATAAAATTTGTGACCAAATTATATGGAATTGTGACTTTAATATATTTAATTAATAAAATATATGTTTAATTAATTTATTTATAAATAAAATTTAAAAAATTCTGAAATTTGAAATTTTAAACTTACTTTCTTACATTTGAACTTGGTAAAACTAAACCTCTTATTTATAAATTCTTCCCTTTTAGTTTTTGTAATTTAAGTGAGCTCAAAACCCAGATTAAAAAAAAAAAGATCAATTTGGACTAAGAGTCCAAACCGACTAATTGAACCAAACCGATTTGGTTTGGGTTGATTCTATTTAAGAGTTAGTGTGTGTTGATTTGGGTTGAAATATATCCAAATTGACTAATTTGGTTTTGCGGAGTAGAAATCAATCCAAATCAAACCGTACTCAGGCCTACATGTTGCCATTGCAATTGGATAGGAAATAAAATGTGCCCAAAAATCATTATATTCCTCCTTTCAAATCTTCCACCCTCTCGAAGGGCGACATCATAGTTCTTGTGTTTGCACGACATGTCTAGTGCTTCAAAACTTCATGCCCGGTACATAGCATTGGGACTCAATGATATCATGTACGAGATTTAACTTCTTTTTGTTCTTTAATCTTATCAAGAATTATTCAGCTCCACGTAATCATAAAATTTAACGGAATCTAATGACTTCTTAATTCCACTTCGATAGGAAATTGGAGCTGCTTTTGCAAAAGCATACATTGCAACGTCTATGTGGCCAAGGAGCCAAGGAATTGCACAGAAATGGTTTAGGCTATGAGCACATCAAGGAGTTTGTAAGTTTTCGAGAGTGATGAACCTGCATGGCAAGCCCGGTTCTTGAATCGCTCACGCAGGCTTCTATTATGGACAGGTCTTCCTATTACTTGTTGGAAAATTCGAAATTGGTTGTGACCAATTTAAGTGATTGTTTAAGTGGAATTTTTTGTTAGGTGAATGAGAAATTAAACCAAACTTAAAA